TAAGGCAAGGAAACTTGGAAGAGTCATTGCAAAAAGGTAGACCTTGCCACATGCAGTCAGTATTTTGCACCCTTACTCATATAATAAAAGAAGGCAACAACTGGGACCAGCAGTTAGCATAATGGCTATGTCGCTGAACTCCCACATAGTCAAAAATGGTTTGAGTCCTGGACCCAGTGTCTTAAAACCACGCCAGGTGCGTGTGTGCCCAGGATCCCGAGAGGAGAATGGAGAAGGGATTGCAGCGTAGCCATCCGCCCCTGGGGGGTGATTTCTTGATTTCTGTCTCTCTTTCTGGCGAACACACACATCCTAGAGCAAAAACCTCTCAAAAAAAAAAAAAAAAGCAACAATTGAGTGATGATATTTTTGCTTCAATTAATAGAACAAAAAAAAAATCTGATGTATCAAGTATATCTTAATACTTCTTGGCAGAATTTCAAATGTGGTCATAATAATACTTTTAAAAATGAAATAAACAGGTAAAATTGAATTGCGTAGTTCAAACAGAAACCTCATTCGTCTACTTAAAATGCTCAACCCTACCCTGATTAACAATGCATCTTGTTTCTGACTATTTCTGTTGGCATGTATGGAATTTTTGTTAACACGAACAAAAATCTGAGATTATAAATTTTCACGCTTGCTATCTGTTCGTTTTATTGTACTCAAAAGCTTTATTTTAGATCTAACCCAGCCAGACATTGATAAAATATATACTACAAGCTGTGAAAAGTCTAAGCTGATCTACTGAGCAGCTGTAGCCTAGTGCAATGATAACCAGTTAGATATTCTCAGAGCAATCAGAAAACACATAGGAATAGGAAATCCCGGTGCCCTCACTGACCGGATCTGCGAGGCCTCCACTGGCAGTGAGACGCTGGTGGGCATGCTGAGGTTCCCTTGGGGGACTGCAGGGGGGATGGGTTTTTGGGGTCGGCGAGGGCCACGCCTTCTCTTCTTCTTGTGTTTTTTGGTAAGTGCAGGAGGCTTGGTTTTTTTCCTGGGTTTCCTCTGCTGCTGGTGCTGAACTTTACGGGAGTTATCTCCTCTCAAGAAATTATCCTTTAGAATTAACAAATGGTTTAAAAAAAAAACTGAGACTACTTAGGGAAATCCTAACATCTAAAACAAATACTTATACTGTATGCTTCTAACTATGTATAATAACAATTAAATTATCAAAAAAGTATTTAACTCATATCAATTTCACATACACATATAGTTTGTCCTACATTTAAAGACACTGTGATAAGTAATATAACATAGTACACTAAAGAAACCATTTAATTTATGCTCTCAAAGAACTAGTTTCCCATGGGAAGAACATGAACACAAGTATACATAAATACAAGAGAAAAATGGGGCAATAATGATATGAACACCTCCTATGGGCACACCAAAGGAAAGTTAATTATTTTGCTTGTGGGATTAATGGGCAAGTAGGATCTTCAATAGCTAGCCTGAATCAGAAAAAAACAGCAGCAGTTGACAGTATGACTGGTGCTTAGGGTAAAATGGAGGATGAACTACAGAAGAAAGCTGTAGAGAAGTTTGGGACCAGACATGCATGACTTTGAATACCCTGTTAAGAATTTAAAACTTTATAGGCATGGGGATTCGTTTTTGATGAGAAGAGTAGCACCAGTTGGTAAGTGTTTTAAAGATTAACTACCTTGGTAACTATGTAAAGGGTAAAGAAGAGGGAGGAGCAATGAAAGCCTTCATTCCAGTCAGAAGCTGTTTCTTTTTCTACCTACAGATAAAACAGATATCTATTTCTTTTCCTTTTTAATTAATTTCACCTATTTCTTTTTCCCTATTCAAAAAGTATTACGTTTATATTTCCAGAGACAAGCCATACCCTTGACAGCATCTTGACCCCATGATATGCCCCATGAGCACACCCAACAGGATCAGGTAGACAGCAGCAAACCTACAGCCTTCCCATAGAGCACCACAAGCCCTGCCTATGCCTCATCAGCTAGGCCAGGAGCTCATTCAACTGAAAATACAAGGGAAGCAGCTAAGGACAGCTGGAGAAAGAACAGAAAGGTAAAGCTTGTCAGGATAGAATTCTCAAGATGTTTTCTTCAATTACTCATTTTATTTATTATTATTCTTACTTTTAAGTGTGCTATAGGGCATGTGCATTCACCAGAAAGAAAGGGAGAAAGCAAGCCACGAGGTCCAGGACTCAAATCATGGTAGGCCACATGGGAGTCCAGTGCCTTAACCACCACACAACTTGCTGGCTCCCTAGAATTCTTGAGATTGGACAGCTCCTTGGATGTGGTGAGGATGAAGGGAACACGGACTCTAAACTGTCCTAGGGTTTGTGGTTTGTGTGATTGTTTGATAAAGATACCACTAGTTGGGACAGAGAACACAGCAGAAGCAGCAGACTCAGAAGAAAAGTTAAGGAATCCAGTTTTGCCATATACCGATTCTGAGATACACAGATATCAAGGGAGGTTGGGAGGAAAAGTGTCTGGTGCACAGAATAAAGGACGGGATAGAGATGTGGGCTGGGAAACCCATGACCAGTAAAAACCCTTCCAGCAATCTACACGGGCTAAGGAGTCCGGGCAAAGGGAGGACAGTGAGGGCACAGCTTTAGAAAACGGCTGCAGTTAAGTGAGTAGGCAAAGGAAGAAGAGCTGGTAGGAAGAGAACTGGCTCTCCTCAGCTACTGTCCTTCAAACTGTACCCTGCATTACTATAGACTACCGTAAGTTCAAAATCCCTGTGTTGAGGGGCCAGCAGGCGGTGTGGTGGTTAAGGGTGCTGGACTCCTACACGGTTGACTGTGATTTGAGTCCCGAACCTGGAGGCTTACTTTCACTTTCCCTCTCTCTTTTTCTCTCTCACTCTCGCTCTGTCCCTCTCTGGTCAAATTAAAATAAGTAAATACAGTTAAATCATTCTTTAAAAACAAATTCCTGTGTTGAAATCCTAACCCTTAATGTGATGGAATTAGAAGGTGAGGACTTCAGTCATGAGTGGAGCCCTCAGAGACCTGTAAGAGAGACCCCAGAGAGCTAGCTAGCTTCCGCTCCCCCATCTGAGGTTACTAGGTCAGCAGGGTATAACCCAGAAGAGGGCCACCAACAGAAGCCAACTATGTTGGCATCCTGTCCTCAGACTTCCAGCCTCAAAACTACAAGAAATACATTTCTGTTATTTGTAAGCCACCCAGAATGTGGTACTTGTTGTTGCAGCCCAAACTAAGACTCCCTAATTCATCAATTCCAAGATAAACATTTTAGTGTCTCTGCAATTGAAAAGCACTTTATAATTGCTGCCATCATTGCTGTCAGCCACATCTGGTCCTCAGAGCCACTATCCACACATATGAAACGTGGACACAGATCTCTGTACTGGCATCATTTGAACTGCTGGTACCATGGTGCATGTGGAAGAAAATGTTTTGAGTGTGTGAAAGGCACAAAGAGCAGCAAAATATAAAATTGATATTAATGAAGCAAATGTTCATTACTGAAGAGCTGACCACTTTCTCTCTCTCTTTCTCTCTTTCTCTCTCTTTCTTGTTTTTGCAAAGCAACAACCAAGTAAAAAGGAGAGTAACCTGTGAATAAGCTGAAATACATAGAAAATACTGCCTTTCAGATGTCAAGTGGTATAGCTAAATGGAGTGATGTATAAAATTAAAAATCTATGTCTAAGCAAGTCTTTTTAAAAATTAAGTCTTTTGGGACCAGCAGTTAGTGTAATGGCTATGTCGCTGAACTCCCATGTAGTTGACCGTGGTTTGAGTCCCGGACCCGGTGGCTTAAACTCACACCGGGCACGTGTTCGTGTATGCCCAAGATCCCGAGAGGAGAATGGAGGAGAAGGGATTGCAGCATGGCCATCCCTCCTGGGGGGGATTTCTTGCTATCTATTTCTCTGTCTCTCTCTTTCTGGCAAGTATATATGCCCTATAGCAAAAACCTCTCAAAAAAAAAAAATTAAGTCTTTTAAAAAGCTCATTCAAGAGGAAGGCATGTAGCATGGTAGCTAAGGCACTAAACTACCACATGGTCAACTAAGGTCTCAGTCCTGGACCAGGCGGCTTACTCACTCTCTGTTGGGTGCCTGTATCAAGTTAAAAGATATTAATAATGACAAATAAAATTAAATAACTCTTAAAAGCAAATAGAAATAAAGCACTGTGCCACCAACAGCATTTTTCTTTTCTCAAAAAACCTTCCAGCAGACTCATGTGCTTGACAGAGAGACAGCGAGATAGAGAGGGAGAGGGAGAAAGTACGCTCCAGTGGGGCCTGGTCATGCTGCAACCTCATCATTATTTTCCACTATGGTGGAATTTCAGGCACAGATGCACCAGTATGTTCTTTAAGCCCCCAAGGCTGGGATTCAAACTGCATAACTAGCTATGTGGGATCTAGCTCCCTTAGCCAACAGGTTACGGCCTGGCCCAGCATTTTTCTTTCCAGTGGTATATAAAATAATGGTTTTTATAACTGCTGTCACCTTTGATTTGATAAATTCAGTAATAAATCTTATAACAAAAAGACTGTTGACAATAGCTTTTTTTTTTTTTTTTTGAGAGATTTTCACTATAGGGCGTGTGCACTCGCCAGACAGACAGAGACAGAGAGACAGAAAGCGAGAAATCACCACCCAGGCGGGATGGTCACGCCGCAATCCCTTCTCCTCCATTCTCCTCTCAGGATCTTGGGCACGCATGCACACGCGCCCGGCGTGAGTTTTAAGCCACCGGGTCCGGTAAGCAAACTGCGGTCGACTACATGGGAGTCCAGCGACATAGTCATTATGCTAACTGCTGGTACCCGACAATAGCTTTTGAAGATGAAAGACTACCACTAGAATCAAATATATTCAAAACAAAAAAGACTAAAGTATAAACCAGAAATTTGAGAAAGAATAAATTAGAGTATAAACTGGAAATTTATAAGAAGTTTAATGTCACTCAAACGCTCAAATGCAAATATAATCAGACTCTTAAGTCACAAATATAATCACTCCTCACTCAAGGACCAAGTCATATGCCCATGACTAGGCAGGTCATTAACCAAATTGCAGATGTCTTGTGGTATGTCATGACAGCACTGGATATGCATTGTTCAATAGACACCACCCGACACCACTCTAGGTTAACGTCGTTCTATCCATACAAAAAGCATACATTAGATAAACACCAGAAAGTGATAAGAAAATATAGTAATATAAGTCTGGCACAATTGTTTTTATTTATTTTGATTACTACTATGGGTGCACAATAAAGTATAAATTTACAAACTAGGCATGTCCTCCATGATTGCAAATGCTTTGTGTAGTGAGTACTAACCAACTGCGGGAATGTGACAGAGTGAGAAAGAGATTCTCTACATTCTCCAACTGGTCGTTAAATCGGTAAGTTGTTAAGTGAAGAGAGGCTGTACACAAGTTTATAAAACAAACAAAGAGGTTGCTTCCCAAGCTCTGTAGTTCTTTCTGGCTCAACACTTTAGGTCCACTTTTTTTTTTTTTAAGAGAGATTTTTGCTATAGGGCACGTGTGCTCACCAGAGAGACAGAGAAAGAGAGATGGAAAGTGAGAAATCACCCCCCAGGGACGATGACCACATCACAATCCCTTCTCCATTCTCCTCTCAGGATTTTGGGCATGCACGCACACGCACCCAGTCTGAACTTCAAGCCACCGGGTCCGAGACTTGGACCATGGTCAGCCATGTGGGAGTCCAGTGACGAAACCATTACTCCAAGTGATGGCCCCTTGAGGTCTACTTTTATTACATTTACTATCTAAGATAACACTTAGTGAATGAGCAACTGCCAGAACCCACCACTGTGCTCAGCACCCAGCTCAGGCCTTCCTTTAAGTACCAGGGCTGATCTTAGGCAGGAAAAAGGCAGAGAGCTCTAGCCTGACATATACCAAGTCCTACTTGTGAGACTTCCAGTGACCACCTGGTTTGGGTTCTAGGCTCCTGTCTGCCTGACTCTCCTAAGCTCATACCCATGGCCCTGTGAATTCTCGGAAATGTGCCAGGGGCTATACACAGAGCTGCCCATAATCAAAGCCCCACCTCTCTCTTGGCAGTCCCTCACTCAGCTTTGGGACACTCCAGAGAGCTAGGGCCCCTACTCCCTATCCTTCTGATACCAACTGTACACTTACCTTAGTGACAAGTGAAACACTATTCACTCTCCCTTTCCTCATAGCCTCATTCTATCTCCATGCCAGGACAGTACATTTACTAATTTATTATTGATAAGCTCTCCTATTTGTACGGATACCATGTTCTGCCTGCTAGCCTGGACTTTCACAGCTTGAGTCTCTGTTACCAATGGTGCAGTACCATCCTAGTAGCTGCATCTAGTTCTGAAATTACTTTCTGCTGAGTATCTCTGTTCTAAGCTCTGGGGATACAGCAATGAACAAACTGTGAAGTTTACGTTCTAATAGGAAGATACAAACAATATACAAATAAATAAATAAATAATATAGTAGCGGCCAGTAGTGGTGTGGTGGTTAAGGGCACTAGATTCCCACGTGGCCAACCATGGTTTGAGTCCCAGACCTGGTGGCTCGCTTTCTCACTTTCCCTCTCTCTTTCTCTCTCTCACTCTGTCCCTTTCTAGACAAAATAAAAATAAATAAAGTTTAAAAGGTAATTATTTAAAAACAAATAATATTATGGTAGCAGATAAATATTAGGAAGAAAAATAAGAGTATGGGGATTATAACAGGGGAGCAGAGAGGTGAAAGATTTTTATTTTAAAAGAATTATTTAATTTTATTTATTATTATCATTATTTTAATTTGCCATAGGGAACATAAGCTCACCAGAGGGAGACAGGGAGAGAGAGAGAGGTCTGGGACTCGACCATGGTCACACTTGTGGGAGTCCAGTGCCTTAAACGCCATGACACCTGCTGGTCCTGGTGGAAGACTTTTTAGATAAGGTCCCATTTAATTATAAACCTGAATGAAATAAAGGAGTGGGCCATACAGAAATCTGGGGAAAAAATGCTCCAGAAAAGAAGAGTAACTTCAAAGCCCCTGAGGCGGGAGCATACTTAGGGTGTCAAAGAAACAGCAGGCCAATGACAGTGGAATTCCAGGAGTAAGACAGGGAGGGCCATGAAATGAAGTCGAAGAGGTTAAAAGAGACAGATCTGAAAATATCTCACAGGCCCTGGTAAGAACGCTGGATTCAATTCTAGATGCCCATTAGGTTTGATTGTAGGGACTAAAATGAACAGACGTCTCTTCCAAAAGGTCTACACTAAAGGCTACCTATTGTATGGTTCCATTTATACGACATTCTGAAAAATGCAAAATTATAGGGATAAAATAAATCAATAAAGTAAAGGGACGACTACAAAAAGGTAGCAAAATAGAATTGTGGGGGTTGAAGGAAATGTTCTGTATATTGATTATGATGATAGTTACACATGTGCATGCATTTGTCAACACTCATAGAACTGTACACACATTGCTGGTGGGAATATAAATTGGTCCGGCCACTATGGAGAACAATGTGGAGATTCCTCAAAGATCTACAAATAGAACTACCGTATGATCCAACAATCCCACTCCTTGGTATCTACCTAAAGGACAGAAGAATGCTTAGTCAGAAAAGTGCTTACACATCGATGTTTATTGTGGCATTATTCACAATTGCTAAGACATGGAATCAACCCAAATGCCCACGAACAGATGAATGGATTGAAAAAGTGTGGCACATATACTCTATGGAACACTACTCAGTCATAAAAAACAACAAGACACTGGCTTTTGACAGAAAGTGGAGGAATATGGAAGAATTACTGCTGAGTAAAGCAAGCCAGGCTATGAAGGAGAGACACTGTATGTCTCCACTTAATATATACCAGTGTCCACACTCTATGGCCCAAACTGAATGACTAAAGGATACAGAAACATAGAATATGGTTGTGAATACCAGATACAGTGTGGGAAGAGGGAGGGTGAAAGAGAAGAGTCTGAAGAAGGATGTTAAAGAGAAAAATAGAGAGGCAAGGCATTTATGGGACAAAGAAATGGGTTATTATCTGTTGAGGGATAATCTTACAGTATTGTCAACTGGACTAGTGCGAAATGTACACATGTTGGAATTTTCACTTTGCAAAAAAAAAAAAGAATCAGAAATAAAAAAAGAACTGTACACACAAAAGAGTAGTTTAATACAAAGAAAATGGAATACATACACATATGCACACCCTACTCTGGTATACTGTGTATTAAACACACATATATGTCAGGGATGCAGAGGGGTAAGGCCAAGAAGTGGGAAGATCAATTAGAGACTATTACAGGGCCAGTAGGTGGTATGGTGGTTAAGGCACTGGATACCACCTGGCCAGCTCCATGGTTCATGACCTGGACCACGTGGCTTGAAAATCACACTGGGCCCATGTGCATGCAGGCACAAAATCCCTATAGAAGAATAAAGGAGAAGGGATTGAGGCATGGCCATCTCCCCTGGAGGGTAATTTCTCGCCTTTTCTCTCTCTCTCTGTCTCTCTCCGGAGAGCCCCATGGCAAAAATCTAAATACAAAACAACAATCAAAAAAAAAAAAAAAAAGACTATTACAATAGCCCAGACTGATTCCAAGACATCTGTAGAATTAAATGTAAGAATGTAAAAATTGGGCCAGGTGGTGGTACAGTGGTTAAGGTGGTTGTATTATACACAGGCAATAATGCAGTTCCAGTCCTGAACCCCACAGCTTGAAAAACAAGCTGGAGATGTGTGTTTGCATGCCCAAAATCCTAAGAGAAAAATGGAGGAGAAAAGACTGCAGCATGGCTATTCCCACTGGGAGACGCTTTCTCACTTTCTCTCTCTCCTTCTCTGTCTCTCTCTGGTGAGTTCATGCCCCCTATAGCAAATTAAAATAAAAAAGGAAATTATTAAAAAGAGAGAGAGAGAGAGAGAGGGAGGGAGGGAGAGAGAGAGAGGGAGAGAAACTGGGTCAAAGAAAGAATTTGGAAAATCTGCTATGTACCAGAAAATGTACCTTAAAGAGAAGTACAAAGTAAGACTAGATAATAAACAAAATGATCATATCTAAGCAACTTTTAAATTTCTTCTAGAACAGTACTTTTAAAAATGAAGGCCTAGGGACCCGCAGGTGGCATGATGGTTAAGGCAGGGTACTCCCACATGTCCGACCATGGTTTGAATCCCAAACCTGGCATCTTGCTTTCTCACTTTCCTTCTGTCTCTCTCTCTGGTCAAATTAAAAAATAATAATAATAAATTAAATTAAATTAAATAATACTTCAAGAAAAATGAGGGCCTAGGGGACCAGCAGGTGTGTTCATGGAGGTTCCTATATGTCCTACATGGCCAATCGCACGGTTCAAGTCTCAGCCTGAAAATCATGCTGAGTAGTGTGTGAGCATTCAAAACCTTGAGAGGAAAATGGAGGAGAAGAGACTAAGCATGGCCATTGTCCCTGGGTAGTGATTTCTCACTTTCCCTTTCTGTCTCTGGTGAGTGCACATGACCTACGGCAAAAAAAATTTTTTAAAATAAAATAAGAGGGTTAAGCTGGTTAAGGCAGTTGGATCCCACATGGCTGACTATATGGCTCAAGTCCTGGACCTGGCTGCCTAAATAGTCATGCTGGAAGCATAGGTGTTCATGCCCAAAATCGAATGAGGGAGAAATGGCAGAAAGGGGGGACTGTGTTCTGACCATCTGCCACGAGGGGATGCTTTCTCACTTTCCCTTTCCTTTCTATCTTTGTCTGTCTCCCTGTCTCCCTCTATCTTTGTCTGTCTTGTCTCCCTGTCTCTCTGTTGAGCACACATGTCCTCTAGCAAAAAGTTAAAAAAATAAGTAAGGGTCTAAATGTATTGGGTCGTTGAAAAATTCATGATGCATTTTTGCATAGAAAAGTAGAAAAATATATGTCATGACTTTTCCAACAATCCAATAATTCAATGGGTCAAGTCCATGCTTTTGAAAATGTCTAGCCAAATACAACAACTAGAAAATATCAGGTAGTAAGACTATTGTTTCACAAAACTGGTTTTGTGAATGGAAGAGAAGGGACTGCAGGATGGCCATCAATGATATATATACTCACAGTGTGTACTAAGTCACAAAACATTTCCTACTGTGGCTAGCAATCCAAAGTTTGAAATCTTCCACCATAGAAAACACAACCCACTTACCATTTTTTTGGCATGTTCTTCACACAGAGGTGTCTGATGAGTGATGTCAAAAACTGGCACGGAGCACTGCTGCCCGTCCGCAAACTTGGCTGTGCAGCTTGAGAAGAGCTGCTGAGAGCGGTACAAGAGGATATCTGGTTTTATTTTAAGTCAAGAATAAAATAGACTTTGATTTAACTTTTAAATTATTTATGTAAAAATTCACATCTTCGTTTACTTATATTTATGGTTATAAATTTTATTATCTGTAAAAGATAAAGTAGCAGCCTAACCACTGATAGGAGAAATGGTAACAGTTTATCATCATTATTTATGAGTCGATAATGCTGAGTCATTTTGTGAAAATAAATTTGCTAAACATGAAGTCTCTCTTCTGGTTAAGCTGAACCAAGTTCAGTTATTAGGAAGAATCATTTCCTTCTTAACACCAATTCTTAAAATTCCCACTATTATAAATGTTTTGGGTTTCTTTTTATAATATATTTTTTATAAATTTGTATTTCCATGGGACCAGCAGTTGGCATAATGGCTATGTTGCCGGACTCCCATGTAGTCGACTGTGGTTCAAGTTGCAGACCCGGTGGCTTAAACTCATGCTGGGCGCGTGTGTGTGCGTGCCCAAGACTCCGAGAGGAGAATGGAGGAAAAGGTATAGTGGTGTGGCCATCCCCCCTGGGGGGTGATTTCTCGCTTTCTGTCTCTCTTTCAGGCTAGTGCACACGCCCTATAGCAAAAACCAAAAACCTCTCCAAGAATATAGATATTTCCAGGCCAGCAGGTGACATGGCGGTTAAGGGTTAAAGACACTGGACTCCTACATAGCTGACCACCGTTCAAGTCCCAGACCTAAAGGCTTACTTTCTCACTTTCTCTCTTTTTCACTCTAGCTCTGTCCCTCTTTGGTCAAATTAAAAATAAATAAAGTTAAATAAAATAATTCTTCAACATATATATACATATATATACACACATATATATATATAAGTATTGTAAGCAAGCCATATATATACATATATGTGTGTGTATATATATATACATATATATATATGGTTTGCTTACAATACTTAAGAATAAAAATTTAGCAATATAATCCTACGGCCAGCAGGTGGCTCAGTGGTAATGCAATGTTCTCTAATGTTGGAGCCACATGGAGAAGTCTTGGGTTTGAATCCCACGGCCTTCTTGTACATGTCAGGTACGGATATCCACACATGCCCATGACCTAGGCTGGCTATGAACTGCAACAGAAACCTCTGTTAGGGAAACCTGTCTCTGTCTCAGTCTCTCTCTCATATGGAAGAAATAAATACACTTAAAAGTGCTAGTCCCAAAGTCTACTGATGGGGAGCAGAATTTCATATGGCCAACCATGTTTTGAGACTTGAGTCCAGCAGCTTGAAAAACATGCTGGGCATAACATGGGTACCCCAAATTCTGACAGAATGAAGAAATGGAGAAGAGACTGTAGTGTTATCATGTTCCACTCGGGGACTTTCTCCATCCTCAACTGCCTCTCTCTGGCAAGCCTATACACTCTCTGGCAGTAAAAAGAAATAAATTAATTAAAAAGAAAGAAAAAATATAATCATTAAAAAATTTATCTGTCTAAAGTTGAATTTTTCCACTTCACATTTCCAACAAAAAAAAATTCAAATTAACAGCTTATGAAAAATTTAAGCCAAAATTTCACTATTAAAATTGTGACATCAGCTCCACATCAATATTTTTAAGCATTCACAGGTTAGTTACTACATTTATCTAGTAAGTAAGTACATTTGTATTTTGTTTTTGGTTTATAATTGAAGGCTACTTGTTTTTATTTTTAGGGACTGGGTCCTGCTGAGTTGTCCTGGGTGGCCTTGAACTCATAATCTTTCAGCCTTAGCTTCCTCAGTAGCGAGGATCACACGCATATACCACTGTGCCTGGCTATGCTTAACACTAATGTTAAGCCTATATTATATAAAAACTGCTGCTGAGAAACTGCAAAAATACAAAAAAAAAAAAAAAAAAAAAAGAGAGAGAGAGAGAGAGAAAAAGGGGGGGCATAGGGGGGGCAAAAATCAGATAGGCCTAGCCACTGTGCATTAATGGAGCTATATGGAAAGGCCTAGGGTTGGATTCTGATCCACCTGAACACCCCAGCACACCTACCTGTGATCTTGGCCAGCTGGAAGGCTGGAGGGAGAAACATGGCATGATAAGACCCTGCTGGGAGTCCTGTGCCTGTCAGTTTCTCTTTTAAAATATAAAATAAGCAAACTTAAAAAAAAAAAAAATCAAATCCAGGGCTTACAGCAGGTAGTGTGGTGGTTAAGGTGCTGGACTCCCACATGGTCAACTGCAGTTCAAATCCCAGATCTGGCAGCTTGAAAATCGTGCTAGGTATGTGTGCATGCATGCCCAAAATCCTAAGAGAAGAATGGAGGTGAAGGGACTGTGATGTGGCCATCACACTGGGTGGTGATTTCTTGCTTTCTGTCTCTCTGTGTGTATTTCTCTGTGTGTGTGTCTCTCTCTCTGGCAAGCGCACGCACCTTATAGCAAAAACCTCTAAAAAAATAAATAAATTTTAAAAATAAAATTAGATTTAAAAACTACCTAGAACCAACTAAAACATCATTATTCCATTAACAAAAAAATAATTAAGTGCGACCACTGGAAGAACCCATTACTTTTTATCAATTTTGCTTATTTTGTTGTAACTCTTGAATAAAAAATTACAATGGGTCCTGCCTCTGTGGAAACAGTCAATAATGTACTGACCATAGACCTGGAAGCCACATGCTGACCGCAGTTTGGGTCCCTAGCCCGGTCAGCCTGAAAACACACCAGGCATGTGCATGCATGCCCAGGACCTCGCAGGCTGGAGGACTGGAGAAATGGATTATGATATGACCAAATCTTATGGAAGGTTCTCGCTCTCCTTCTCACATGCATATATGTTCTCTCATAAATTTCTTAAAAAAAGGAATCATAATGACATAGCAGAAAAATTATTCAGAAGACTTTATGAAAATTAGAAGTTACATTAAAATCATTTAAACATTAAATATTGATTTCAAAAGTCATCCGGCTGATTTAAAAACGAAGCAACCCCACGAGTTAACACTTTCCTACGGCCCGCTCAATGAGGTGAAAGGATACGTTGGAAACAGTGTCTGGTGAACGGCAGGGCTTTGTTAGTGCACTGCTCACCCTTCACGGTTCCGCAGCAAACGGCTGGCTCCGCTTCCCTTAACTTGGCCCGGCTTATGCTAAGGCGTAAAGAAAAGACAAAATTAATTTTTAAAAAATGCTTTCAGAACCTAGGGTAATATTTTCATATTATGTTACCATTCTGTAATACCCACATTATAATTATCTGTAACATCTAGTCATTAAATAAAATGCAAATACAAGTTAAAGCAGGTATTATAATTACCCATTGCATTATTTCTCTAATTTACTCACATTTAAAGCAAATATTTACATCACAATAGGTTTCAAAAATGTCTACCTGTTTTGTTTTTTAAGCTCTATTTTGGTTCTTTATACTTCACAAAGAGGCAGTACAGAAAAATAATGAAGAACATGACACTAGAATTAGATACCCTGGTTCTGAATCTAAAGACTACCTCCTGCTACCTATGGCAAGTTACTTAGTCTCACTAAGCCACAGTGTACCTATGTGAAATATGCAATTAAAAATTAGTTTCTGGGGTCAGCAACTGGTGTGGTGGTTAAAGGCACTGGATTCCCACAATGGCCAACTACGGTTTGAGTCCCGAACCTGGAGGCTTGGTTTCTCACTTTCTCTCTCTCACTCTGTCCCTCTCTACTCAAATTTAAATACATAAAGAAAAAAAGGTTAAATAAAATAATTCTTTAAAAATAAATAAATAAATTGGTTTAATTTAGGGGCTGACAGATGGCATGGTAGTTAAGGTGCTAGACTCCCACAAGGCTAACCATGGCTCAAGTTCCAGACCTGGAGTCTTGCTTTCTCACTTTTCCTCTTTCATCTCTCTTTGTTAAATGCACATGCTTTATGGCAAATAATAATCTTTTTTTTATTTTTAAAATTTTATTTTGTTTTAGAATTATTATTTTTAATTTGACCAGAGAGAGACAGAGAGAGAGAAAGAAAGGAAAAGTAAGAAAGCAAGTTATCAGGTTTGGGACCTGAACCATGATGGACCATGTGGTAATCCAGCACCTTACCTACTGTGCCACCTGCCGGCCCCAATAATTATTATTTTAAAAATTAAGTTTTCTTTTTTTAAAACAAATGTAATGAAAAGCAAAATATAGAAAACAAGAACAGCAGATGGAGTAATGGCTACGTGGCTGGACTCCCATGTAGTCAACTGCAGTTCACGTCCCGGACCCGGTGGCTCTGGTGATCCTCCTCCATTCTCCTTTCGAGATTTTGGGCATGCACACACACGCACCTGGTGTGACTATTCAGCTGCTGGGTCAAGGACTGAACCACAGTCGACTACATGGGAGTCCAGCAATATAACCATTATGCCATCTGCTGGTTCCGTAAAAGTTGTATTTTAATGTTTTGCTTCTTTTAAAACCAGTTTTTCGGGACCAGCAGGTGGTGTGGTGGTTAAGGCGCTGGATACTCCCACATGGCCAACTATCATTCAAATCCCAGACCTAGTGGCTTGCTTTCTTACTTTTTCTCTTTCTCTCTGTCTCTCTTTCTCTATCTCTCTCTGCCACTCTCTGGTCAAAAATTTTAAAAAATAAATAAATAAGGGACCAGCAGTTGGCGGAATGGCTATGTCACTGGACTCCCATGTAGTCGACCGTGGTTCGAGTTCTGGACCCGGTAGCTTAAACTCATGCCAGGCGCATGTGCGTGTGTGCCCAGGATCCCGAGAAGAGAATGGAGGAGAAGGGATTGTGGCGTGGCCATCCCTCCTGGGGGATGATTTCTCATTTTCTGTCTCTCTGTCTCTCTCTGTCTCTCTGGTGAGCACAAGCGCCCTATAGCAAAAATCTCTCCAAAAAAATTAGAATATACAAATTAAAATTTTTTCTCCACTTTATCAATAATCTTAATAATCTAATAATAAATATCTAGAGATGTTTGGATACATAAACTAGTTTTGTTTTTCTCTACACATATACTCATGGTTGGTATCCAAAACTGTAATTTAAAAATATGAAATCACAGAGCCAGCATGTGGCATGGTGGTTAAGGAGCTAGACTACCACATGTTCAACCACAGTTCAAATCCTGGACTTGGTGGCTGGCTTTCTCTCTCTCTCTCTCTCTCTCTCTCTCTCTCTGTGTGTGTGTGTGTGTGTGTGTGTGTATACACATATTTCTCTGGTGAATGCACATGTTCCATAGCAATTTTTTTAAAAATAATAATGATAAATAAAATTAAATAATCTTTTTAAAAGTATGAAATCATAATCAGTAAAAAACTAAACTATCCATGTTAAAGTCAAAAGATATTTTAGCAATTTTAAATTAGCTGAGTGTTTTAAATGGCATTTGAAGGGGCCAACCAGCAATGCAGTGATGACACAACACTCTGAGCTTCTACCACATAGGAAGGTCCCAGCTTCACAGGTTCAGATCCCAAGGCTTCCCTGTATATACTAGACACATGTGCTTGCCTATGATCCAGAATGCCTGAAGCATTCAGGGGTGGATAGTGCCATGAAGATCATGTTAGAGGTGCCTGATTGTCTCTCTCATGCAAGAAATAAACTTTTTTAAAGAAATGTATTAATTTAGTTAAAACTAAAAAATGATCATAACCATGACCAAAATATATATAATAGGATCAACCAGTGGCATGGCAGCTAAAGCAGCTAGATCCCATAGGGCTGACTATACAGCTTGAGTCCTAGACCCAGCAGCCTGAAAAACACTTAAGGCAAAGCTGACAGGTGGTGTGGTGGTTAAGGTGCTGGACTCCCACATGGTTGACCACAGTCTGAGTGCCAAACTAGGTGGCTTGCTTTCTCACTTTCCCTTTCTCTCCCTCTCTGTCTCTTTCTGGTTGAATTTAAAAATAAGAATAACAAATAAATAAACAATTCCTTTAAAAAAAAACAAAACACACACTTGAGGCACATGCACATGTGTACCCAAAATACTGAGGAGAATGAAGAAGGGGCTGTAGCCTGGCCATCCCCCTCGGGCGATTTCTCACTTTCTTTGTCTCTCTCCCCTTGTAAGAACACACATTCTGCAACAAATTTTAAAAAATACCGCGTCATCAGAAAAGTCATGATGTATTTTTCTATGTTTTTCTATGCTTAAATGCATCATGACTTTTCCGAAAATCCAATATACATACGTGTCTAGACAGACAGATAACAGAATTTTATGTAAGTCTGTTTCTAAAATATAGCTTTGTATTTTCTGAATATATCATAAATATAAACTGTTTTAAAAGGTACACAACCTAATATATATAATTATTATTCTATTAAGTTTCCACCATTACCACAAAAATAGTAATGCATCAAAATTTTGTCATCAAAATATCAGAAAACTCTATACTTTTAATCCATACACTGTACAGATTCTGATTCAATGGAACATTACACAAACATTATAAATCATGTTTTTCAAAAGAAAATTTAAGAACATAAGGGGGGACCAACAGATGGCATAGTGGTTACAGTACTGGAATCCCACATGGCTGATTATGGTTTGAGTCCCAGACCCAGTGGCTTGAAAATCATGCCAGGCTTGTGTGCGTGTGTGTCCAAGATCCCAAGAAGAGAACGGAGGAGGATGGATTATAGCATGGCCATCCACCCTAGGGGATGATTGCTCACTTTCCCTCTCACTGTGTTTGTCTGTCTCTCTCTGGCAAGTGCATGTACCCTAAGGCAAAATCTCCAAAAAAAAAATAAAATAAAAAAGAAGAGCATATGGGAATGGCTAAGACATCCTTTTAAAAGGAACAAACTGGATAGATAGCTCTTAAATAGAAAATATCCAATTCCACTTAAATAAATAACATAAAATGTCTAAGAGCTGACACCTATTTTCTGTAGGATTATGAGTCATATTTTAAATAATTAATATAATCTGGACCAACAGATGACATGGTGTTTATGGTGCTGGACTCCCACATGGTCAACCATGGTTCAAGTCCCAGACCTGGTGGCTTGCTTTCTCACTTTCTCTCCTCTCTCTCTCTCTGGTCAAATTAAAAAATAATAACAATAAATAAAACTAGGGACTAGCAGATGGTGTAATGGTTATATCACTGGACTGCTACATATCCAACTGCGGACCAAAATCTCAAGAGAAGAGTGGAGGAAAAGGAATTGCAGCATCTCCACTGCACCCACCCCCTCGCACGATGATTTCTCCTTTTCTGTCTTTCTGATTCTGTCTCTCTGGTGAGTGTATGCTTCCTATAGCAAAACTCTCTAAAAGTAAATAAATAAAATAAACTTAATATCATCAGAAAATGTCATACTTTACTGATAAATGGGAAAGGCATGAAATTAAAAAATAGATGTAGCATTTTATCAATTTCACTTTTAAAAATAAACATATGGATCACTGAAGATTTTAAATATGTGCACAGAAAAAGACTAGAGGGATATAATGTCTAAATCTTAACAGTGCTCACTCTTTGTCTGAACAGTGATATTATGGAGGTTTTATCCTCTATTTTTCCACATTTTACCTAGTAAGCAAATACCTCCATTACAAACAGAAGGGATTTTTCTTCCTAAAAGAAATTCGATGTAATAAAATATTTGAACACATAATATGTGGAACAATATAAGAGAATATTATTGGAAAACATAAAAAGAAAAAAATTTAACAATTGAACGAGTTTAACAATAAAGTAGGGACCAGCAGGTGGTGTGGTGGTTAAAGGCACTGGATTCCCACATGGCCCACCATGATTCAAATCCTGGACCTGATGGCTTGCTCTCTCACTGCCCCCACCCCGTCTGATCAAACTGAAAAATAAAAATAATAGTAATAAAAATAAAGTTAAGCAAAATAATTTAAAAAAACAATAAGTAAACACCGTAAGATATCACTTTCGTAGTAAAAATTTAAATAAAAATATTATTTTAAATAACGTGGAATTTATACACATTGTATTTTTCTTATAATACATATAACATTCCTAAATCTTCTCTAAATAAATCTAGTCAAACCTCAGCCAAGTTTCAGGAATGCTTTTATTCGTCAGTTGTGGCAGTATTACAAGGCCACCTGTATGGCACTTCATCTGAGCAGTAAAAGCAAAACACAATGCTTCAGTATTTCATACTTAAATACCCACCTCAACTATACTTCAACTATCCTCTCAAGACATACAGAAAACAAGGGAGAAAGTTCTCAGAAACAGGCAGCTGTGTGTGGCTCTAACCTGGTTCGGCTGCACGCGGCTCTCCGCAGTTCTTGTATTAGCTGACCAGTACATTCCGGCTCCTTACTGGCCGCCTGCAGTAAAGCTTTCCTAAACGAATGCCGGCATTTCTTTTGACGAGATTCTGCCCGCTCCAGGCGGCAGAGGTGCTTATATTTCTGCTGAAAGTAAGTGCAAAGTTGGGTCACCCTGGAGCTCCTGCTCTCCGTATCATCATCATCTGACCTAGAAAGTGTAGGAGAGAAAGGAAAAGCTGATTACACCTTAGGCTTATTTCAGAAGGAAGAAAAGAGAGTAAGGAAGGATGGTTGGATGCACCAGCTTAAAACTTTCACCTCATGTGAGCACAAACTTACAAGATGCGAGAGAATTCCAGTAGAAATGAAAATAAGTACAATATTTCAACAATAAGCAGGGTGGCAGAAAGAGTCCAGTGGTTTAAGAAGCTTATTAACCTTTGGGCTGGCCCCATGGTCTAGTAGTTAAGGAAGGTGGTTCCCATATAACCAGCTCCAGTTCAAATCCCAGCCCTTGGGACCAGCAGTTAGTATAATGGCTATGTCACTGAACTCCCATGTAGTTGACCGTGGTTCGAGTCCTGGACCTGGTGGCTTAAACTCACACCGGGCACCATGTGTGTGCATGCCCAAGATCCTGAGAGGAGAATGGAGGAGAAGGGATTGCGGTGTGGCCATCCCCTCAGGGGGTGATTTCTCATTTTCTGTCTCTCTGGCGAGTGCACGTGCCCTATAGCAAAAACTTCTCAAAACCAAACAAAACAAAACAAAACAAAAAAACCGAGCCCTTATGGACTGAAAGCATGCCTGGCACCTGTGCATGTGTGCTTCAAATTCCAGTAGAATGAAGAAATAGAAAAACTATCGTGATGTGATTACATTCCCCTGGGGGGTGGGAGATTCTCTCTCTTTTTGTATCTCTCTGGCGAGTGCACATGCTCTCTGGCAATTTATTT